TTTTACCACGGAACTCTACTCCAACCTGGTCAAGGCCTTGATAAACACACTCCTGTAGGAATCTCAGGCCCAGCAAGAGGCCTGGCTGTAATAAGAGGTGCCCCTGATTACATACAATGTTAGGAAGCCCGTGATGGCTCCCAGGCCATACTCTCTTCAATATTAACCCCATAAAGTACAATGATTCACTCCTACTAAGCTGCCTTTGTTGTCAATAATTACTGGTTGTTGGAAGTTTCTAGAAGGCTCAGAGTTTCCTGGTTATATTTGAAGGACTTGGACCCAAACCATCCAATTTATTTATTTGTGAGCCACCGTTCTGTGTCAGACCCCATGCTAAGCTTGGGGATACCAAGCAGAGTATGTCACAATCCTAGCATTCAAAGAATTCATCTGATATTGAAGGAGACAGGCAAGTGAAGGGATCACTATATATTACTATGCAAAGAGAGGCAAAGAGAAGCCTGTGCAGAGACCAGAAGTAGCATGGAGGAAAGGAAGTCTTTCCAGAGGAGGGGATTTCTGGGTTGGGCTTTAAAGTATGAATAGGTGTTCAATGGGAAGTCAAGAAGAGAGCGTTACAAATGCAAAAGGGATAAAAGCATCAGGCAATAGCATGTACTCCATTTGCTATAAGCAGTTTTTGTCTTATCACAGCATATAATGAGGGTGCATGGATGCAAGGGATGCAGCTAAAGAAGTTTAGACCAGCCAGTCATAATGGGTCTTCAATCCTAGGCTAAGGGGCTGGGATTTTATCCTGAAGATGACATGAGGGGAGAGACATGGTTCTAAACCCTGGAAATGATACTGTCCAGTTTGCTTTTGAAAAAACTCACTCTGGTATCAGTAAGGAGGGTAGATGGAAAAAAGCCAGTCAAGAGGCAGGAAGGGACTTTAAGAGTGTACATGGGAGATGTGGAGGCTGGTGCTTGGATGAAAGCAGTGAGGTTGGACAGGAAGGAAGAGACAGAAGGACAGCAGCGAGAGGACTTAGTGACTGGTCAGATGTGGGCTAGGACGGGGCGAGAGGAGTCCAGGATGACTCCCAGCTTTCTGTGTTGGGCAAGTGTGTGGATGCTGTCTACTTGTTTACTCTCTATGTCCCCCCTTGAAATGTAAACTCCAGGAGAGTGGGACTTTGTCTTGTTCTTCACCACACCCCAAATACCTAGAACAGTGCCTGGCACACTGTAGGAGCTCAGTAAGCCATTGTTAAATGAAGTTCTCATCCCAGCACTTCTCTCCATCTCTGCTGCCACCACACTGATTCAAGTTCCCACACAGTTCCCAGAGTGCTCCTGGAGCCTCCCCTGCTTGCATGGGGGCCAGGAGGGTGAGGGAGAAGCCTGGGGTGACTAGCCTTCCATTTCCAAGTCATGGCACCTCTCCAGTCCACCCAATCTCCACAAAGCAGCCAGAGTGGCTTTCTAAAATCATAGATCATGTCAATGCCCTGCTTAAAGTCTTCTGGGGGTCCTCAAGGCCCAGCGTGCCCACTTCTCCAACTTCACTTCCTTTACTTTGACACACTTTATTCTCAACTGCCCATGCTTTGCTCTGTTCCTAAAGCCAAATATATCTCTAGTGCCAGTCACACCTCTGTCTTCCCCAGCAATTTGCAAGGATTCTAGCTCCTATACTATCTTCTCGGGGAGGCCTTCTCTGACTATCCAAACTAAAATAGAGCCTTCCTTCTCTGCCCTAGAACATCAACCTGATTACTTCTTTCACATCACTTATCACAGCCTATTCTTGTTTGCTGATATGTTGACTTGATTATTATTTCTCTCTTTTTCACCCCTCTCTCTTCCTAACATGTATTCCAGTGCCCAGAACATAGTTATAGCTCAATTAACATTTCTGGACACAATTGTGCTTCCACTATTATGATGGTGATGCTGATGATGCTCATACAAGTGATGCTCTCCCACAGTGAGATGCTGGTTTGCATTTGTGGATCCAAGGACTGACTGGAACATATTTTCGACCCTCTAATTAGAGACAGAATCCATTGTCACAAGCTTGGTCTGCGCTTTGAAGCTAGGGTGTGTGTGTGTGTGTATGTGTGTATGTGTGTCTTTACTTCATGCCAGGAGACCTCGTAATCATCATTAGGTACAATATACCACCTGCCTCCATGGATACCGACTTGGTAAAAGCAAAATGAGGATGTGGCAGTTCTCCTCTATTCCTTTGCAAGACAGGATGAATTTATTGTGTCTTGTAAACTATAAATATTGAGACAGGAAGACAGTCTCTTGGCCCCTTCAGATATTTTCCCCAGCTCCCACACTGGTTCTGCTGGGAGGGGTTTTTAGGACATGCTAGAGAGGAGAGAAAAATGCAGTTACCCAGACAGTACTGGAGGGAGGGATTGGGCAGACAGCCAACAGGGGCTGCAGAAGAAACTTTCTGGTCAAAAACTGAAGCAGGATAACCTATCAGTTTCAATAACACTGGGAAAAACCTAAAGGAAAGCACAGTTGAATACATCTCATAATGTTCCTGAAAAAGAGACATTTTAGTGAACCTCAAAAATCAGAAAGGGAAGAAACCTCAATTGTTTCATTTTAAAGATGGGTAATCTGAAACCCAGAGAGAAGAAAGGACTTTCTCAGGATCACGCAGAAATTCTGTGGCTGATCTAAGACTAGAATTCTCATTATTCAAAATTCAGGGGGCGCCTGGGTGGCTCAGTTGGTTAAGTGACTGTCTTCGGCTAGGGTCATGATCCCGGAGTCCCAGGTCAAGTCCCGCATCGGGCTCCCTGCTCAGCAGCGAGTCGGCTTCTCCCTCTGACGCTCCCCCCTCTCATGTGCTCTCTCTCTCATTCTGTTTCTCTCAAATAAATAAATAAAATCTTTAAAAAAAAAATTTAGTGTTTTTCTGGCACATAACATCACCAGTGTAAGCCTAACTCTTAAGCTAAATTAAGCTAAGTCATTTCTGTGGCCACAGAAACTAGCAAGTGCCTGTGTCCAAAACTCACACAAATTCTTATGACTTCTCATTTCTAGCTCTCCTTCCTCTCAGTCCATGGTCAGCCTATCACAAGACACACATATCACTTCCCCTTTGATTTCCAAGTTGATGCTATCAGAAAGAGGCAGGAAATAACCAAAAGATATATGCTGGTGAAGAACAGTGTGTACACGATACTTATAAAAACAGCAGGTGAATCCATATTAGATACTGAACACTCTTTGAAGCCATGTCCGATCAGAAATCATGACTCTCATCCAATAAAACTATGGGCAAACAGGACCATTTGAGAACATCTACAGTTCTGTATGGGATAGAATGGCAAGAGGGAAAAAAAGAGGAAAAGAAGGTTAAGTCTACCAGTCATGGTTCAGAGTTACCTGGTTACATATCTGAGAACTCAAAAGAATATTTCTATAAAAAATATAAATAAAAATATATTTCTAAACAACAAATGTGGAAACTGGGGTCAAAGTAACAAAAAATAAGATAACTCAAAGTACCAATTAGACCTGAGGTCCAGTCCTAAATAATTACCTTAGCCAAACAGCATAGATAACCATTCTTCATATTTACAATGAGGATAACAATAGCAATAACAGATGTAGTCATCACTTACTGATCATTACCCATATGACAGGCAATGAGTTAACCACTTTATATCCCTTCTTTCTTGTAATCCCCAGCCCAATGCCATGGAATGTAGACATCATTATTTAGATAGGATCAGAGAGACGAAGTAATTTGCCCAAATGTATTGCCAAGTTATAGGACCAAGATGTAAATTCAAATTTGGAGTTCTTAATCATTATATTTCAAAGGGTGGTTGTGAGGATTAAATCTAAATTAAAATTTTAAAAGTAAGGAAAGCACCTTGCATAGTGCCAGCTCCCAGGACATGCTCCCTGGTAGTTTGTGTGCCTTCCTGTCTATATTCGCAATCCTTGTCTCATCCTTCACAAGGGAGGGACAGTAAGGCTCAATCGTCCGTGGCCAACTCTCAAACCATCTGAATGGTGGCCAAAGTTACTGAATTCCTGGTCAACTTACTGGGGGACAGATGTGGAGGGGTGGAGGGGAGGCCAGGAGAAGATCCCCAATGCCATCCCTTCCTGTTCCAGCTAGAAAACTCAGAATCTAGGAGGCATAGGGAAAGGGGTCTCTGGCTTTGCTGTGAGAACTGGAGCATCTCATTTTCTTCTCTGGAAATTTTCCCCTTTGTAAGGACGGAGCTGGGCTGCACGGCCCCTGAGGGGACCACGGAACTGTGGCAAAGAGCACGTGTCCCGCAAGTTATTTAACTTCTCAGATCCCACCCCATCTTCAAAATGAGTTATCGATAATGATTGTAAGGCAGTTTACAAGGTTGCTTAACTGAACTAAGTAATTCCACAAAATGTGCTTAGCAGAGTGCCTAGGACATGGTAAGCATTCAATAAATGTTAGTTATTATTTTTATTGCCATTATTTCTATAATTCCAACCCCAACAACACTCGGGGTGTCTCTATTAAGCGAGGGGGTCCCGATGTGAATGACTTGAATTTACAAATGCATTCAATGGTCTGCCTAAACAGCGGGTCTACAGCCCTTCATTTAGCGCTTTCCATGGTACAATGACCAGGTTTTCTCCCTCCGGGGAAAGTCCGCGACTTACAGAACAGCCACAGCAGTGCCTGCAGAGACTACCCTTCCCCTTATCTTTCAGCGGCCGGGTGAGGCCTGAGCCCGACTTCCACAGCCCGCCCATCTCAGCCACCATTGGTCGCCTCGTCGCTGGCGTGATTAAGGCCCTTCCCCCTTCTCTCTGGGACCACGCTGAGGCGATCTCCGGAAGCGGAGGGGCCTCAAAGGAGGGACCGCGACGCATCCTGGGCTTTGTAGTCCGGCCCTACAGCTGCAGCCAAAGATCGGGGCGTCAGGACGCGGAGAACTACAATCCCCAGAAGCCGGCGGGGAGCGGAGAGAGGCGGAGCTCGCGTCACGTGGGCTCTCGGCCTGGGCGGGCTATTTCTCAGTGCGGCGGCGGCGGCGTCGGCTCGGGGGACCGGGGCCTTTTGTTTGGAGCGGCTGCGGGGGGCGGCCCCGGAGCGGCGAGGCCGGCGGCCTTCCCCAGCTCGCTCGGTCCCGGCACACCCTCGCGGGGGTGGGGAGGCCGCCCCCTGGGCCGGGCCTCGCCTCAGGCGCCGCCGCCCCGCCCTAGGCCCGCCCCGCCCGGCCTGAGGGGAGGAACCGGCTGGGCCTTCCCGCGCGGCCCAGGCACCTCCGGAGTCGCAGCCACTACCTTGCGTGGTCCGGACCCGAAGCTGCCCTTGGTTCCTTCAGCAGACGCCATGAAGATCAAGGATGCCAAGAAACCCTGTAAGATGGGGGCTTGAGCCCGTCGGGTTGGGAGAGCACTTTAGGCGCCGCGTGGAAGCGCCTTAGCGGAGCGGCCTCGTTCCCGGCCTGTAGCTCCTCGCCGGCGCCTAGCACGGCATGGGGGCGCAAGGACCATTTCAGCATCGGGATGGAGGCTCCCTCTCCATCCTCCTGTGCGCGCGTGACGAACGCCTGCCGCCCCCTGGCCCTTTCCTCCCACTTCCTCCTCGAGATCTGGGACGCGCTTGGAGGAATTTTTGATTCGGTTTTTGCCAGGCAAGACTAGAGCTACCAGTCCACTCCCCCAGCTTCCTCTGAAGTCGGGTTGAAAAGGGTGTCGTTTGCGTGGGGGCATTTGCCACCCTTTTCCCCCCTTTTCTTTTTTTTCCACCGATTTCTGTGCTTCCCGCTTGTGACCTTGAAATACCGGTGTGTTCCTGGGAGTTACCACTGCTGTTACAATTAAACACGCCTGTAACTTACCAGTGGGTAATTGCCTTGGCTTGTTTTTGTTTAGAATAACAACTAGGTCGTGTTTGCTTAAAAAAAGGAAAATCATGGGTATTCCTGCTACTCAGAGCTAACCGCTTTTAATATTTTGGTGAATGCTATTAGAGATTTTTCTACGACTACATATGTACGTACTTCTTAATAAAACATTCTTTACATGTTTTAAGAGACCAGATCAACTTTCATTTCCTTTTTATTTTTAGCCTTTTAAAAACCTTTTACTCCTATAAATAGTTTAATCATTCATGATTTTCATACTTTGTAAGTACATTCTCCCAGGGGAACTAGGAATGTGGGGAAGCGTGCTTATCTTAGAATTGTATTGGTATTTAACAGTTTTTAGTGTCTCGTGATCTTAGAGTTCTAAGAAATCCATAAAAGGGAGCATTGACACCTTCCTTTCTGGCCCTTCAGGGTTCTCTTAACCTCACCCGAAAGGCAACATACCAAAGCACTCTGAAAACGACTAATCGCTGTTTAAATGTGAGATAATTTGGTCTTAATTTTACAGATGAGGAAATTGAATTTATTTAGCCCCAGAGTAACTTTTCGAAGGCTGTACCAACCATCTCTGTGCTAATGAGGTTCCCCTAAGTCGACTGACTCATAGTCCAGGGTTCTCTTTTCTGCATCCATAGGGGTATAGTTTAGTTGAAATACTTAGAGAAACCTTTCTGATCTGGTGGTTTTATCTGCCTGCTGAAGAAAAAAATATTTTAATGATGATTTCTTGTAACTAAAGAGTTCTTGTTCAAGGAGTCTGTAAAACAGTGATGTGAAGGCTTAAGTGACAGTACTATAGAACCATTTCTAATTTTTTTTATATTTGCTGAATTAAACTAATCTTGAACAGATGCAGTAATGTAAAACACTTGGCCATCTTCCTTTAACATACATTTTCCCTGCTTGTCTTAGAACTTCCATTTAGTAAAATAAGTTTAACTATGACAAGCTCATGCAGACTCTTAACGGTATTTTCTTTTTGCCATGGTAGTGATTTGATTTGTTAGATTTGGGCACACCTAAGTATTAGAAAACATTGCTTTTAGATACATCACTAATATGTTAGGAGATTATAAATCAAATGCGTGTATTTAACCAGAAAATAAGAAAAGGAATTAGTTTCATTTGCTGGATTGTATGAGTAAAAGGTTAGAATTTGAAATATGTGTTAATTCAACTCCAAAGAAAGGATGAAGTCAAACATTAACCTAATGAAAAATTTTTGCTAGTGAAAATATGGAAACCTGAAAAATGGCAGTGTTTGTTTGCTTTACCTTTACTTAAATAATTCACACTGCTTAAATATTAGATTAAAAAGCCAGACAATCGTGGGTTCGTTTGTACCCCAACTGACAGGATGTCTTAAGGTATGTTCAACCTTTGTTTTTGTTTTGATTATTTGTTTATTTGACAGAGATCACAAGTAAGTTGGCAGGCAGGCAGGCAGAGGGAGAGGGAGAAGCAGGCTCCCCGCTGAGTTCAGAGCCCGAAGTGGGGTCGATCCCAGGACCTGGGATCATGACCTGAGCCAAAGGCAGACGTTTAACCGACTGAGCCACCCAGGCACCCCTCAACCTTTGTTTTGCTTACCTTTGTGGCATGTAGCCTAATTAACAAAATGATAGTAAAAGATACATTTTTTATTTTTAATTTGATAAGATAAAGGTTTTTGAGTCTCTGCTAACCCAAGCTGTTACCTGAAGTTTTTGTCAAGAGCAGAGAGAAGTATATGACATGTGTGTAGTTTACTTGTCTATAATTTGATTGGCCTGTTTGTAAATTGAATCACTTAAAAATTATCCCTTCCATGGGTGCCTGGGTGGCTCAGTTGGTTAAACATCTGACTCTTGATCTCAGCTCAGGTCTCGATCTCAGGATTGTGAGTTCAAGCCCCATGTTGGGCTCCATGCTGGGTGTGGAGCCTACTTTAAAAAAAAAAAAAAATCCCTTCCAATAGATAATAAGGTACAATTGAATATGATAGTTTCTAATATTCCCTTAGATACACTGAATATACCAAAGGGAAAAAAAATACTTAACACTCTTCTAAGGAATTATGATACGAAAGGTGTGAAGGTGGTTATTTTCTTAGTCTATTTCAAAACACCAACATTTTTATTTGGAATGATTATTGGGAAGAGCAAAATGAATGTCTTCTTTTATCCAAGAACTTGAAGCATACCTAGAATTTACCAGTGCACATGCCCATTTTAGAATTTTGTTTCTTAAAATAATCCACTAATGTTTTAAACATTTTCAACATTTGGTCCCTCTTTCTGCTAAAGAACAATTAAATCCTAATTTGGCATAGGATCCCTTTGGGCTGAAATCTGCATGGAGCCAATAGCAATTAAACAGTTCTTTAATGTTTCTCCCCCACCCCTTTACAACACCTAGCAAGACACCAAACTCTTAAAACACCTTTTGTTAGAAATCAACAGTTTGCCCTGTGGCAAGATATCTTCTGCTAGATATCAAGGGGGTTGGACTTGGCAGGTTTCTTCATACACAATCTACCTGGTAAGAAAGATAATTCTTGGTAACACTTTATGCTTACGCTAGTTCTGGATATTTTTGTTACTGATGGGGAGCTAATGACAGCTCTGTTAGGCTCAGCTGAGAAACAGAATAGGAGTTATTTTTTTGAAGGCCGAAGAGATTCTAGGAAAGACGCACTGCCTTCTCCCATCATCAAAGTACTCATTTGTAGTTATGGAATGTGCGTTTTATTTTTTAAATGTGTTTTGGTTCATTATTTTCACCTTGGCAGAGGAGAGTTTTATTATCAAAGAATAAAAAATGTTGAGGTTATATGCAGTAAGTAGCCTGCTCATGCACTGGTGACCGACTTTTAACCTGTCTCTTGGCCAGAAGCAACAAAGCTATAGGAATAGATACTTGCCTGATTTTTTAGGAAACATATTTATTTCTTAACTCATGAGCTATTAGTGGACCTGTGGTTGTACTTAATAAGCTTATATTTATTTGCCTCATACTTAGAATTGCAAATAAAGTTTGAGTTCCATGTCCCTTTCCCCCTCCTGTTTTGGTCAGTGACAAAATACGTATTTTTTTTTTAAAGTACTGGAAAATGTAAAGATCAGTAATCAGACCACTTACTAAATGATAGGAGTGGATCATAATTAAGAATTTGTGTTTTCTGTGGGACGCACCTTGCTGGCTCAGTTGGTAGAGCATGGGATTCTTGATCTCAGGGTTGTGAGTTCAAGCCCCACGTTGGGTGTTAAAAATAAAATTTTAAAAAAATCATGATTTTTTTCTTTTTTCAAATTCCAAAGAGGCTTTATTACATACAGAGGGTAGGGGCTTCAGTCCTTCTTGGCTGCTGCTTTTTCTCCCTGGCTGCCAGGACGTTGCTCATTTCCTCTCGGCATGGATGTGTGTCCCCACCCTTTTCTTGATGAATTTGAGGGCGCACTTCTCCTTGGAGACCTTGCGCACGCTGCTCGTTGGGGAAGTGGTACACCTCTGGGATCATATCCCACACAAACTTCGTGTGCTTGGTGAGGCGCCCCTGGCGGCGGCTCTGCCTCAGCTTGCCCACGTTCTAAGTGACCTTGTGGCCCGTGTTGAGGCCCAGGGTCATAGGGTAACACAGAGAGGCTGCTGCTCCTCCATGACTTCTGCGGCAGAGGCCCCCATACTTTTCTAATGTGATTTTTTTTTTCTCCCCCTTCCAGCATAAGGAAAGGAAATCCAGAACTCTGCTGAGTTAAAAGGCTCACTATGCCAAAGGTGGCTGTTACTGGCTTTTTTTCTCTTGAGACACTGGCAAGGTTGAGTTCTTTCAGTCCCTACCTTCCTGATTTTAAGAAGAAAACTGTCATAATTGAGATTTACTAAGAAATAGAAAGGACATGTAATGTTCTCATTTGCACATGATTACTGAGAAATTCATCATTTACAATATAGCATCTCTAGTTACCCTTCCCTTAAGAACAAGTAGCTCTAAAAGAACAGATGTATCTCATAGGCTAGATGTGAGATGAGTCTTGGGCTTTTTGCATTCTTAATTTTAAAAACCTACCTCTGTAGGCAATAACCATTAAAGAAATGATACAATTTTCCAATTTAATCTGCAGTTTTTTCATAGAACCTTCTGTTTCTCTTGTCCAGTGTACAAAAGTGGGTCACACAAAGATTTAAAATTGAATGGTAATAATTGTTTCATGAGTTTGTGGTTGTTTGGTGGTTATTTTTCTTTTTTTTTTTTTAAGATTTATTTATTTGAGAGAATCTTCAAGCAGATTCCCCACTGAGCGCAGAGCCCAGTGAGGGGCTTAAGCGCACAACCTAAGCTGAAACCAAAAGTCAGTTAACTGACTGAGCCACCCAGGCACCCCTGGTGGTTGTTGTTGTTACATGTCATACATATCTTAAAATATTCTTTAGTAATTAATGTAATTTAAAATAAATGAGGGATTTGATATACTGTAATAATAAAACATAGTTTTGTTTACAAATTCTTTTTACTTTCTGTGTGGAGTTTTCTTTTTCAGATAGGACAAGTTTGGTTTGATGCAAATATATCAACAAAAGCCTTTTTTTTTTAAGATTTTATTTATTTATCAGAGAGGGCACAAGGAGGGGGAGCAGCAGGCAGAGCACGCAAGGGAGAAGCAGGCTCCCGGCTGAGCAAGGAGCCCAATGCCATGCCGACTTGATCCCAGAATCCTGAGATCATGACCTGAGCCAAAGGCAGACGCTTAACTGACTGAGCCATCCAGGTGCCCCTTAAAAATCATTTTAATTATATAATATCAGAAGCATTCCTATGTTTTATCTAATGTCCATTGAAAAGTGTCCTAATTACATACCTGTTTAACAGATTGGAAAAATTCTGACGTTATCTCTAATTTATTGGATCAGTAGAGCTACTCCATATTGTTTTTTCTTTCAGTGTGTTGTCCAAGCAAACAGTTGCTATGAATTTCCCCTCTGTAACTTAGTATTGGGGCTTGCTACTAGGGATTTAAAAATTGAGAAAATTTAGTCTTGTTTCTTTTACATTTTAGTTACTTATAAAAATCTACAGGTGACACAAAAGTGTGGTGCCTGTTTGGGGTCTTACTGCCCCCCAGGTTATGGTCTTAAGTCATTTCACTTTTTTTTTTTTTTTTAAGAAGTTTCTTTTTTAACACTGTCTTTAGTGTAGATCTATATCTGGAACTTGGGTTTCAAATACAAAAACAGGTGAGCTAAAAAAAAAAAAGACGAGTGAACTATTTCTCGGAGAAGATAATGAGAATTACTCCTTCCTCATTTAATATTACTTACTAATTTCAGCAAACGTAAATTTTGAAATGGAGAAATGTATAGAATCCTTTCTTGTTGAATTGTATGTACCTGGTTTCTAATAGTCAAATATATCAAATAAAATAATATTTAAGAAACAGATTATGGAGGGAACTAGTTTTCCTTGACAACTTACATATAAACTGTTAAATACAATTTATTCTGAAGCATTCTGTAATGTGTATCTCTTAAGTATTATTCTTGAGTCTCTATCATTTTAAGATCCCAGAGAATAGAAACAGATGTTAAATAAACTAAGATTCAGAGAAGTTAATGGCTTTTCCAAAGTCATATAAGTCCAGTTAGTGAGAGAGCACCAAGTCCCAAACCCAAATGATACAACTGCCTGCCCAAATGTGCCCAAGTAGACTTTATTTTCAACATTAACAGCTAATTTTATTAACCAGATGTACCAAAGAGATACATTGTTTAATGAGCAAAGAATAAGATTTCTTTTTAAGGAGGTACTTTTTCCCTTAGGTTACTTGAAGTAATTATAGGCCAATTTTATTGCATTAAAATCTTACTAGAAACATTATCAAGCCATAGGTGATGACCTATTTATTAAAACAGAATTGGTCCAAATTTTTCCTGATCCCCTGGGGCATATGACAAGTATTTAATAAATGAAAAGGAATATCTACCTGACCAGGAATTAAAAGGCCCTGGGCCAGCTGTAAGCATCCTATGTTACAGGTTTTTAGAAAATGTATAAAGTAATACTTTGAAGGGAAAAAGTTGAGTTGCACAAAGAAGAAGCATCTTACCCCAAAAATACTGACTGCATGATTCAGGGTATATGGAGTTTGTGGCTAATTAGCTTCCAATTTGCATTTCTGAAGTTGATATATATGTATTTTTTTTTTTTATCCACAGCTTTCCCATGGTTTGGCATGGACATTGGGGGGACTCTAGTAAAACTCTCATATTTTGAACCTATTGATATCACAGCAGAGGAAGAACAAGAAGAAGTTGAGAGCTTAAAAAGTATTCGGAAATATTTGACTTCTAACGTAGCATATGGATCCACTGGTATTCGGGATGTACACCTTGAACTGAAGGATTTAACACTTTTTGGGCGAAGAGGGAACTTGCACTTTATCAGATTTCCAACCCACGACCTGCCTACTTTTATTCAAATGGGAAGAGATAAAAACTTCTCAACATTACACACGGTGCTATGTGCTACAGGAGGTGGTGCTTACAAGTTTGAAGAAGATTTTCGCACGGTAGGTATATTACTCAAAACCAAAAATTGATACCCATTCTCTCTCTTTTTTTTTTAAAGATTTATTTATGAGAGAGTGTGTGGGAGCAGGAGGCGGCGGTGGTGTCGAGGAGCAGAGGGAGAGAGGGACTAGCGGGCTCCGCACTGAGCACAGAGCCCGTTATGGAGCTCAATCTCCCAACCTTGAGATCGTGGCCTGAGCCAAAACCAAGAGTCAGACTCTCAACCCACTGAGCTACCCAGGCACTCCCTCTTTAATTTTTAAAATACGAGGCTGTTTCCTAGATTAGTTCCACATGCTGGATATGGAGGAAGTATGTATTCATGATCAGTTTTTCATTTGGGGCACTTAAATACCTTTTATAGGCTGCGTTAAAAAATTTGCCCAGATTTGAGCTTATTGTACATAATATTTGGTAAAACCTGCTAAGTTTAGGGACTGCTATAAAGCTACAATAAAAGGGGATTTCAATGAATTTGGCAGTATACAAAGCTAAATATAAGTGGCGTTTGAATTATTTTCACTATTACTGTCCTATGTATGCATTGCTTTTATGTATTATTCAGACAGTCCTCTCTCCCAGGGCCATCTCTTTCCTTGCACCCCCCCACAAAAAAAAAAAAAAAAAAAAAAGAACTTCAATCTAAGTCTCACGTCTTTTGATTAAGTAGACATCTGAATGAGAGTCACCTTAGCCCTTTTTTCTGGTTTGTTTTTTTTTGTTTTTTTTTGTTTTTTTTAGATTTATTTATTTATTTGACAGAGACAGAGACAGCTAGAGCAGGAACACAAGCAGGGGGAGTGGGAGAGGGAGAAGCAGGCCTCCCGCCGAGGAGGGAGCCCGATGTGGGACTTGATCCGAGGACTCTGGGATCACGACCTGAGCCACCCAGGCGCCCCCCCTTTTTTCTGGTTTTATCCACCAACTTTACCATGTTCCTATCTTAAAGGGGGTCATTTGGATATAGCAAGAGGACTATGTAAATGCTGATTTAAGTGCTAGTGGGGGTTTGCCAAGCTTCTAGTCCTTTCCTGTAGAATAAGATTAGAAAGTTGGCATTTGGAAGTACTGAAATTTGTTTTCTTTGAAAATATGCATGTGAACCATTTAATTTCTTAAATTCATATAAGAAAAGTCTGTTAATAGAAGATAAGTTATCACTTACGGCTCACATAAGTGAGCCCCTTAAACTTTGGGATAGTGTAAAAGTCTAAATTGGTACTAATTTTTTTCTTTTGATAGATAATACTGATTTGTATTCAATTTGTTGAGTAATTTGAACATAAATTTCATAGATTTGAGACTAGTTTGCTTGAACATGTGATATTGTTTGCCAGAATTCTTACCAGAAGCAGTATCCTTGAAGCCAGCTTTCACCTGACCATTGAAGTATCAATATTTTCTTTTTTTTTTAAGATTTTTTAATTCATATATTAGAGAGCATGAACTGGGGGAGGGGCAGAGGGTGAAGCAGACTCCCCACTGAGCAGGAGCCCCATGGGGCTCAATCCCAGGACCCTGGGATCATGACCCTAGCTGAAGGCCAACGCTTAACCGACTGAGCCACCCAGGCGACCCAGAAGTATCGATATTTTCTAGTGATGAAGTTCTGTAATAACTTTATGTTGATGCTCAAATCATTTATTAAGGTAAATATTGGAGCTTAATATGTGTCAGGTATTATGCTAGACAGAGAACTCAGCTGGGAATAAGACACAGTCTTAGCCTTGAAAGAGTGCAGTATTCTAGACCACACAGATAAGTGAGTTACAAGTACAATGCCTCAAGTATTGATATGAAAAGCAGTGCCATGGAAACCCAGAGTAGTATTACCTAACAAGTTCGGGAGAATAAAAGGTTCCCAGAGGAAGTGATCTCTAAGCTGAGATCTTTTTTACAAATAGTTTATAAGACATTCTTTACTAACCTAAAATGAATTTAATAATTTCAGACTAGTACCCAAACTATAATATAGAGAAATGAAGGTATTTATATATTGGTAGATTCTCTGGTATGATCACATGAGAGGGCATAATGAGAGAATTAGATGCTGGCACTTCAACATAAATTCACCATGAATTTTAAAGGCACAAATGCTAGTAGATTGATACGGTATGTTTTATTGGAGAATCTTGTACCATAAATGGTGTTGCTGTTTGTGACATAACACTCTTAAGATGCTAAATTACACTTGGGAAAATTCTAAACAATAAAAAAGTTCAATATTTCCTCAGTTTATATGGTGGTTGCATTCCTAGCAAATTTAGCATATATAAAAGCCATATAAAGAATACTTCGTGCTTCCATAGGCTCAGATAATTATAAAGAAATTTTTTTTTTTTAATTTATTTGAGACAGAGCACAAGCAGGGGAACGGGCAGAGAGAGAAGCAGGCTCCTCGCTGAGCAGGAAGCCCAATGTCGGACTCGATCCCAACACCCTGGGATCACGACCTGAGCTGAAGGCAGACGCTTAACCAACTGAGCCACCCAGGCGCCCTTACAAATTTTCTTACTGCTCCCTAAAAAAATGTCAGAATGCTCAAAGATAAGACAGGAATGGGATAATAACTTTGTTTTTGCACAACTGCCGTACCCATTGCAGATACCCAGCATCCCAAGTCCCTGCCCACTAAATGTTAGTTTGGTCCTCTCCTCCACTCCACCTTTGTGAAAACTGAAATATCCCTAAAAATTATCAGAATGCATCCAGAGGTAATAACCACTATCACTGAGAACCATTGGACTAAGATTCTGACACGAAAAAAGTGAAAATGTATGGGTCATAGATGATTTTGAAGTTTTAGAAAGCTAATGAAAATTATACAGTGCAGTTGAGTCAAATATTTTGAATACTGTCCCTTGTTCACTTTATAAAACTTCTGTGGTGTTTTTTATAGATTGGAAACCTCCACCTGCACAAACTGGATGAACTTGACTGCCTTGTAAAGGGCTTGCTGTATATAGATTCTGTCAGTTTCAATGGACAAGCAGAGTGCTATTATTTTGCTAATGCCTCAGAACCTGAGCGATGCCAAAAGATGCCTTTTAACCTGGATGATCCCTATCCACTGCTGATAGTGAACATTGGTTCAGGAGTCAGTATTTTAGCAGTCCATTCCAAAGACAACTATAAACGAGTAACCGGGACAAGGTAGTGACCTTTCTGTTCCTATTGCAGCGTTCATGTTGTTTTATACACAGAAGTTGTGAAATCATCTTAATGCTACCCTCTAACATGCATTTGTGCAGTAGCAAAAAATGTAGATGTGCAAGTATAAGTTAAAGTGTTGCAAATAATACTGTTTTGTAAGGTATGTGTATAAAGACTCAAACTAAAATAAATATTTATATTTGCTTAACATCAATTGGCATCAAAATTGCCATAATTGTAAAAGGGAATTTTTATCTGGACTGATTGCAGTAACTTTTTTTTTTTATTATGTTAGTACCACATAGTACATCATTAGTTTTTTGGTAGTGTTCATGATTCATTGTGTCCCATAACTTTTATTTTCCAAAGCATTCCTCTCCTTGTTTTTCCACTGTTGTATAGATCTGTTTAAGCCTTAAGTTTGCCGCTGGTCAGCTTGCATGCTGGTTGGATTAGATTCACATTTTAAGTGTCATATTGGGCAACATTGTAATCTTTTTTTCTTTAGGATTTATTTTATTTATTTGGGGGGGGGAGGCAGAGGGAGAGAGAGAATCTCAAGCAGACTCAGTTGAGCACGGAACCCCATGCAGGGCTTAATCTCATGAGCCTGGATCATTACCTGAGCCCAAAATCAAGAATCAGATGCTCAGCCAACTGAGCCACCCAGGTGCCCCTGTCATAATTCTTATAAGATGAATTTAACATGAGCTCATTATGGGATAACATTGATCTAAATATCCCATAAGATTTTCTATGATGCCTGAAATATTGTGAAATAAAATTTTTTAAAATTGTTTTTATGATTCCGATACTTCATCTGCTTTTAAGGATAGAAGCTCCTAATTATTTGAGGAAGATAGATTTGGGGGTTTATGAAAAAGAACTCATTTCCATTTTAAAGTAATACTCTTATTACTAAAGTGGTACTTAACATTTTTTGTTGCAAGTAAACTCTACCCCCATGTGGGGCTCAGACTCAGGACCCTGAGATCAAGAGTCACGTGCTCTACAGACTCAGCTGGCCAGGCACCTCTAAGTGATACTTAAATTTAATTAGTATTTTATCTCTGTGGTGGCTAAAAATCTACCTCCATTGTGACTCTATGCCAAAGACTTACAGGGAAATATTACCCATTTCATTCTAAAAGAAATTCAGTCCGTTAACTAAATTCCGGGATACATGGAGTCTGTTAGAAATTTAGGTGAGACCGGGGAGCAAAGGTTTTGATTTTAGGGATTAGGCATGATTTCATTTTATCAGTATATCCAAAAAAATAATAGAACCAAGTAAATTTTTATCATTAACATACTGACCAGCCTGACATAAATTTTCTCACCATATTCATTTCTGGGTCATTTTAAATGCTAACGTGTCACATTGAATTGATTCAGCCTTGTCAGACCAAGTAAATAGGCCTTTCACTAAATCATTTCCTGGAAACCATTTGGAGTTGCAAGCTTTCTCTTTTTAACTCATATGGTACTAATTTTTAACACTGCTTCCCCCCCATGTAAAAGCATTTTTAGCAATTACAAAATGTAAGGAATTGGGTAAAGATATTAGAAGATATTAAACATCTCTTCCTGCCTTCATGTTGCTATCACCAACTGATTTTTCCCCCTTTGGTTTATTCTTTCATTTGACAAGTTAGTTTGGCATTTTTCTTCATTATGTTGATATTTCAGCCCTTGGCATTAGCAATGTGTTCTTTCTTTGTGTTTATTAATTACATGGATATTCCATCTTTTTACTCTGGAGAAAGAATAGTGTGTAAATGTAACTTACCCAGTTTTCTTTCTTTCTTTATTTTTTTTAGCCTTGGAGGGGGTACCTTTCTGGGTTTATGCTGTTTATTGACTGGCTGTGAAAGTTTTGAAGAGGCTCTTGAAATGGCATCCAAAGGTGACAGCACCCAAGCTGACAAGCTGGTCCGTGATATTTACGGAGGAGATTATGAAAGATTTGGTCTGCCAGGTTGGGCTGTAGCATCTAGGTAAGTTTAATATTTATATTATAATTAAAGTTGCTTATTTAGTTTTTAGAAAGCAACATATCAGGAAGTTGTTAGGGGGCTTACTGTTATCCAGTTTAGGTTCCAAGTTTTGAACATGCATGTAGTTTAAAAATAAGATACACATTAAGGGGGCACCTGGGTGTCTCAGTCGGTTAAGCATCTGCCTTCAACTCAGATCATGATCTCAGGGTCTTGGGATCAAGCTCCACATTGGGCTCTCCCGTCACCGGTGAGTCTGCTTCTCCCTCTCCTCCTGTGATCTCTCTCGCTTTTGCTATTCTTTTTTTTTTTTTTTTTAAAGATTTTGTTTATTTATTTGACAGAGACATATCGAGAGAGGGAACACAAGCAGGGGGAGTGGCAGAGGGAGAAGCAGGCTTCCCACTGAGCAGGGAGCCCGATGCGGGGCTCAGTCCCAGGACCCTGGGATCATGACCTGAGCTGAAGGCAGACACTTAACAACTGAGCCACCCAGGCGCCCCACGCTTTTGCTATTCTTAATGTATATAAAGATATACGTTGAGAAATCTCCCCTGGTGTACCCCATAGGAAACCATTTTTATTAATTCTTGAATATCCTTTCAGTATTTCTTCATGCAAATATAAATACATATCCTTACCCCCTCCCCTTATACAGAAGGTAACTTTCAGAAGGTAACATTAATATACTATTATACAGCATACTACTATATGTACTCTTCAGTAGGCAATCTATCCTACCTAGTCTGTGTGCTGGCCTCCCTCCCTCCCTCCCTTTCTCTCTTTCTCCCCCCTTCTTCTCTCCCCCTTCTCTTCCTTTACCTTCCCCCCTCTTAACCTCCCTCCCTTATTAACAGCCTCTTGGTATTTTGTGTGGATTTATCAGAGTTTGATGGTGGTTTCCGGTATTCTGCTATGTATAGTTCAACGGGTCAATCAGTAACCTTGCTACTACATACCTTATTTTGTACTCGTGTAAATTTATCTGTAGGATAAATTCCAAAAATGTATGAAGTGTTGCTTATTATCAACAGAATTTTATTTTTCATTTCTCTGCAGTTTTGGGAATATGATTTATAAGGAGAAACGAGAATCTGTTAGTAAAGAAGATCTAGCAAGAGCTACTTTAGTTACTATCACCAATAACATTGGTTCTGTGGCACGAATGTGTGCTGTTAATGAGGTAAAAAAAATTAACTATTTGAAAAATGTGGATTGGAGCTTTATGTACATGTAGCAGGGCTTCTTTGTGTTCCTTAGAGACCTGTAGGATTGCGATCTCTTCCCTTAAATCCCAAGGCTCATTAGCTGTATATGCCATGTTTACCTAATTGTTATGTTACCTTTAAGGAAAGTAGCAGATAATTCAAGTTGGAAATAGAACAAAGAGATACTTACATTTCAAATTTATCTAGAAACTTTTTCAGAAATACACAACCTAAATTTCTTGAAGACAGAAAATTCTTTCCAAACATAGGATGTTTTTAAAGTAACTAATTATTGAAAGGGGTATTTTTTGCTGTTAATGTTGCATTTGATTAGTGAGGTGCTTAGAAGTTTTCTTACTGCCTTTGGCTTCTTTACAGTGCTGCCTTGTTGCATATGGATCAAGCAGCATTGTACAGGGCTATGAAGGCATTGAGACTTGTTCCTTCACCTGAACTTTGAATGATGTATACTTAAAAAAGCATGTACTCCTATATTTACTCTCATTGTTGGGTTATTTTTATTTGAAGGAGATTATATATACAATTCTGCCTTCATGTAATAGATGTATTTCCCACTTAATTTTTGTAAATATCAAATACTTTGAATGAGGTGGGAATTTGTTTTTGAGGGAATCCTTCATTTGTTAATTCATTTATTCATGAAGTATTTGCAGAGTACCATGTGCCAGGCATTGTTTTAGGCATTGGGATACATTAGCAAAAAAAAAAACAAAGATCCCTGACTTCATGCAACTTCATCCATTCTAGTGATTTAATAAATTTTTAAGTATGTATTTGGTGATAAATGCAATTTTTTAAAAAAGAAAATCAAGATGAAGAGAATTGAGAGTAAAAAATTAAGTAATTGGATTGTTGAAAGAAGACTTTATTGAAAATGTGTATGTGCTGCCGAAGCAAGCACAACTTTTTGAAAATGTAACCCTTGGATAAATATTGAAAGGAGGTGAGATAATCAGCATGCGGATATTTGGGGAAAGAGAAGCTCCAACAGAGAACAACTGTGAAAAGACCCAAATTAATTATTTGAATTATTCTGTTTAAATCCAGAATTCTAAGTTTCTCAACAGTGTAGTAAGTTGGTTGAGAGAGCCACTAACAGATGTTTTAACTCAGGTTTAGGGAATACTTCACACTGGGGGGCTGACAATAATCTGGGACCTTCTTTCTTAGCCCTAGCCCTGTAGATCTAGATTTTCACTGGCCACTTGACTTAACAGTAATTAAGGCCATAGTTTACACTACCCAAACTCAGTGTGCACAAATGTATACTCAAAAGTTCAGTATATTATTGTGAGAGTAGAAAGGTTTTCTGGAGACTGAATAAGACTTCCTTCAAGGTATCTATGGAACCAAATTAGTGAGTAGAATCTTAGCAGAGAGTGACTTGATAGGGTAGGCTGGGGCCAGAGATGCTGGAAGCCTCAAGTTCACAGTGTTTTAATCCTAAACCCATTTAAAATACTCTCCTTGGTTTGTCTCCTTTAATCTTAATACTGTTTCTCCAAATTACTCTCTTAGTAGATTATTTACTGGCCATTTTCAAAAACAAGTCTCATCTAAAATCATTTACTAAAGTCTTTCCAGAACTTTTTTTTTTTTAAATAGACTATATTTTTTAGAGAGGTTTTAGGTTCACAGCAAAATTGAATAGAAAATACAGAGTTCACATATATACCCTTGAACCCCACAACTACACAGCTTCCCCCACTGTCAACATCCAGAACCAGATTGGTACATTGTTAGTCACTGAACTTGAAATGACACATCACTGTCACCTAAAGCCCAGTTTACATTTGGGCTCACTCTTGGTGTACATTCTTTGGGTTTTGACAAATGTGTAGTGTCATATCCTGAACTAAATTTTAAATATTCAGGATTGTGGAGATACATGTACTAGGAATGTAACAGACACTAAAAAATAGGGTAGTAGTTTACATTTTTAAGTAGAGATTTTCTAAACCCTACTGTATTATAAATTCTTCGTGATAATTCTTACTTCAACTCATTTTCTTTGTTCTTTTCTTTTAGAAAATAAACCGAGTTGTCTTTGTTGGGAACTTTTTACGTGTCAATACTCTCTCAATGAAACTTTTGGCATATGCACTGGATTATTGGTCAAAAGGTCAACTGAAAGCATTGTTTCTAGAGCATGAGGTATGATAGGAAAATAATGCTTTGCAAATTTTAATAGCATGCTTTTATATACAGGTTTCATACATTGCTTCTTACTATGTACTCTTAAGTATAAAACTATGATTTACCTGAATTGTATATTGAGTCCCCCATTTCAGTTGAGCTGGGGGATAGGTGTTACTATAACCTGGTAGGCACCCCATTAAGATGGAGTTTCCCACTTCCTCTCACCAAGAGAGAGGAATATTAGGTCTTGGAGCTCCTTAAATATTGGGGCTGCTTGGTGTACTTAAATTGTGTTCTTTTGTTTGTCTTTTTTTTCTCCCCTGAGATAATATTAAATGTGAACACCACAAAAATAAATAATTTAGCAATGAAAATTCTTAATCCTCCCACCACAATCTCACCCCCGCCTCCACAGGGACCACTGTTAAAATTTTGGAGATTTGTCAAGATTTTTTTCCTGTTCATTCACTACATCCAGTTACTCTGATCTGAAATTATCAGTTCATACAATGTTTTGGATTAAGTAAATTTACCTTGAATTGTTTTGTTTCTAGTCAAATGGACATATTAATAATTTAATAACACAGATTCAGAGTATTCTCTTGTGTTGATGTTCCACTGTCACTGCTCTCACTGGTATGCTGCTATGCAGGCTCCACATGGTGTGCTGTGTGCGGGAGAGTGGCAGGTGGAACAAACGGACTTGTATTGAGGAAAGAGGAGAGGGGCTCAGAATTGTAGTAATAGCCCTAGAAGCTTTTCAGTGTCTACAAGCCACACTTTAAAAAATGCGTATTTCAGAGCGCCTGGGTTGCTGAGTTGGTTAAGTGACTGCCTTCGGCTCAGGTCATGATCCTGGAGTCCCGGGATCGAGTCCCTGTCAGGCTCCCTGCTCAACAGGGAGTCTGCTTCTCCCTCTGACCCTCCCCCCTCATTCTTTCTCTTTCTCTCTCTCTCTTTCTCTCATTCTCTCTCAAATAAAATTTAAAAAAAATAAATGTATTTCATATTTTTCAAATATTAGCTGACAACACAAATTGGCAGGTTTCTGAATAAAAGTTCTTAAATAGATTATACATAAGTATCTGTTCCTAATAGTTGTTAATGTTGTATGCTAATTTAGAAGCTGAACTGCATTAATAATTGTTTTAAAATTATACAGGGATACTTTGGAGCAGTTGGTGCACTTCTTGGGCTGCCAAATTTCAGCTAAAAAGCATCAGGTTTTTCTCTGCTAATAAATGTCATCCATGAGGAACTGAAAACCAGAGGCATTATTACTGCATTATTACTGCATTATTGTCACTGGGAACCAAAGGATAACAGAGTAGCACTATTCCTGTTGATTTTTAAATGTCACAATGGTAAGCTGCTAAAAGTTGCCATATTAAAAGAGGGAGCTTGGTAACATGTGAAGTATTTCTAATTGAAATGCTTTCCCTTCTGTATATATCCAGTGTTAAATCCTTAAAATGCAATACAGCCTCTGATTATTGAGCTTCCTCTCAGAAGATTTTCTATTTATTTTATGTAGCCAACTATTGCAGTACTGTATGCTCAAACACAAATCTTAAAGTCTCTGAAATGTTTAGCTCCTGAAGATAATTGGATCTGGATATTTGTTGCAAGTGCGTTCTGTGTGTCTTGGTTACTAGTTAAGTGGGCAGTAACATACCCTGTATCAAACTTATTGAAATGGCTATCAAAGATGATCGTTTTGATGTGATTTTATAAATGTTAAGGCAATATGAATTATTCGTGATTGTAGTTTTTTCAACATTTCTCCCACCAGAAAAGCATGTTTATGTGATTTTTTCCCAGAATTACAAGCTTTTTCAAATGCCATAATTGAAATACTATTGTTAAATACTAGCCTGAATTTTTTAAGGTGAATCCTAGAAAATCACATAATTGGTGATAATTGCACTTTCTGTATTTTATGTTAATCATTATATTTAAAAAAATGTTTTGTATTTTATAGAGAATTACTTACTTGAAAATCCATTTAATGAGGTCCCAGGACTACACTAATAGAATATGGTTTGTGTGCATTGATAGAGACCTGTGCTCTTTCTATACCACGTTTATCTCCGGCCTGAATTTAGTCATTTGTTTAATTAGGTCTGCAACTTCAAAGCTAGAGACTAATCTATTATGAACAGCAACAAAATCACATTTATTCTAAAGAGATGTCATGGAAATCTAAAAGATGAGTTGTTTTGAAACTGTAGGGGTCTGAGGCAGTATTGCAGAATTTAGAAAAGGATCAGTATTTTGTACATTCTGGTAATAAAGACATTATAGTTCCAAAATTTGTAAATCCTTTTCCCTTGGAATTTGTTCTCTATTTTGAAGTCATTTTTTATAATGTTATTTTTTCAGATACTTACTTTGGCAGTAACATTTTTGGAGGTCCACTAGTTCAGCGAAGTTGTTCAAGCCTGTTAATTAATTGGCTTAAGAAATAGACTTGGGGAAAATACTCACTTCCTTAAATTACCAGTAAATGTGGATATACTTTGAAGAGCTTAAAAACTGTTTACATTATAGGAAGAAAGAAGTATTAATATGTTTTTACGGAACATAATTTTGCTCCATAAGGAACAATTTGCAGTAGAGATGCTTGATAAAGACATTTCTCCTTATAGTTCTCAAATTTTGTGCTCAAATATTTACAATTCAGTTTTACTTAAATCTAAAGACATGAACATACAAATAATAGGAGTGAATATTCAGAGGGAAAAGCATGAAAGGTAATTTTTTAGAACTTAGAATATTTGGAACTTTGAATTCATGTTGAGTCAGTACGTCACTTTGAAAACCTACAATGACTAAATGTTTCTTACTTTATGTTTCCATTGTTACGGCAAGATATTTCTGTCACTACAAAAAGCCATGTGTCCAATTTATTTTAGAAATTTTGTGATTTGGACATCTGTACAAAAAGTTCTTATTTTTAAATGATAATTTCAAGTTTATGGCAAACTATTAGCAGCTATAGATCTGGGGCTGTCTTTAAGGAAGAAATGGAATGGTCAGAGTCCATGTAAATTAATTTGATCAGTGTTTTGGTTAATTTGGGACTGTGATTCATACTTTCTGTCCTTTGAAACTGAAGTTACCAAATACAAAAAAAAAAAAATGCATATACAGTGAACAACCATTTCACCATTGTTGCTCTTGGCTATTCTCATGTATAATCAAGAATTACTGGAGCAATAAGCATGAACACAAAGTTGTGATAAAGACTGCCAAGATTCTAGTTTTTTTATTACAATCTCACAAAATTCTTTATAAGCATACAGTGGTAAACAGGTTTAGTTCTTAGCCCGATCAGCATAATGCCTCAAAGCTCTATTTCTATTAGACTGTACAATTTAACAACATGAAGTGTAAGCCATACATAATTTTACATTTTCTAGTAGGCATATTTAAAAAGTAAAAAGAAACTGGTGAAAATCATTTCTATTTAACCCAGTATACCTGGTATGTCACCATTTCAACATATAATCACTATAAAACGTTATTTAGGAGATAATGTATTATTTTTTAACTTTGTCTTTAAAACTAGTATATATTTATACTTAGGGCACACTTCAGTGTAGGCTAACCACATTCCAAGTTCTCAAGCCACATTTGGATAGTGGCTTCTGTACTAGACGGTGCAGTTCCAGAACTAGCTCTTAAAAAAATAACACTATCATGTATCCATTAAAACTTTATGAATAAAGACTTTTTAAAGAATGTTTGAGAGAGGATATGGGAAATACTATTTTTTATGGAAAAAAATATGGGAACTTTTTTTTTTTAAATACAGAAGGAGGTTAAGAAGTAGCTCATTTGGGTTAGTATATTTTACAGACTAGCTGTATTTCTGACCAATCCACAAACGTCTTACATTGGATCCTGCCATTTCATCATACTGTATATCATTTTTCTAGTGATTCTGGTAAGTTGCCCAAGACCCATCCTGACTGGCCTCAACAATCTCCAAAATGTCGGTTTCCTTCACTGAAGCCAATTTGATGATTCCAGTGACTTAAATCCCCCCAACCTTATGTAATTAAACTTTGAGAAGACAATTTTAAAGGACTAAAAAGAGACCCTTTTAATTCTTGAGTTCTGTACACACAAGTTCTTTATGACTTTTGAATTTAATTTCCATTCTTAAAAACTGGTAAAATATTTTCAGATACAAAGAGCACTATCAGGTTGTTTTGGGGCTTGATGAAGAACACAAGGTCTAGAACTTTCCACCACCAGCCCCCCCCCAAAAGATTGCCTTTTAACTAGAGATGTTTAGAAGTAATGGCCTTCAGTTCTATACCCTGTTTCTCCAAAGACATAGTATTAGACTTGCTTGCCTGTCAATGGGGGCATTCCTTGCTCAGCGACTCTTAAAATAGGTGGGCTCTTCATTTGGGTTAAGTCAGTGCCATTGCCAGTAATATACATGGCCATTGACAGTCTTTCAAGAGGTTCAGATTCTTGGCCAAATAGACTGTAAAGATCCCTGAGTTTTTTACCTTTGCATGCAGATGTGATTACTGTATTGTAGGTACCAGTTCCTGAAAGTCCCATTTCTATAAGAAAAATGATGCAGCTAAAGGGAAAGGTTTTCCTCATGTCCGATGGAACTCTTGCCTTGATTTCTAAGGTTGCATTCTTGGGTGGAAAACTTAGCAAGGCAGTAGTTTCCAGATACCCTTTATAACCACTCCGCTTGTTATATGCAAAAATGTTCATATTTGTATAGTGTATATTTTTTTTCTGTTGAGCACTTTACGCTTTTTAGTCTTGCATTTGAGAAAATATAGTTTAGAAATCCTTATTTAAAGCCATGTAAAAACCGTTTAAAAGATAATAACCAGAAAAAATGAGTGTGCATTATTTTGCATTTAACTCACTGTTTTGTGGTATATATAAGCAAAATATTAGAAATATATTGCCTTTTTGTAATACTCTTTGACCTTATTTAAGATGATTTGCCAGGAAATGTCACTAATGTCCTATTTTCCTAATGAGTTTATTAAATGTGGGTTTTATTTTAATACTGAAGGAATTCAGCCAATTTTGTCATCAGATAACCTCAGAAAATAATGCGCTTTATCTGTATTACTGTCTGTTTTCCATATTTGAGACAGCAGTGGTCTTACATTTTCTACTGAGCCTAGTAATTAAGACCAAAAGAAGTAATTTTTTTCTTCCTTTAAGGTATTTTTAATAGCCTAATAAAAATGATGGTGGTATAAAAAGTAAATCACCCCAGCTTTTTGACCATACCTAAAATTCTGAGTAATTGCCACTTAAAAGTCTTCTCAAAGCAGTCTTTATTGCTTTGTTAGGCTTGTGTATTCAGTGGATGTGGGATCATAACTTGATATTATATTAGAAATAGTGCCAGCCACTGGTCTAAATTCTTTGAATGTTATTTCATTGTAAAATGAGGGAATTGATTTGTTACAATGGGAAAAAACTCAGTTATCATCAGGATCCTGAAAAAACGTTAGTTGCTCCATTCATGGCAGCATTTGGAAAGACTGAAATAATTTGTTCAGATATGTTGTGTCCTGTTTTGGAGTTAATTTGATTTGTATATGTTGTTAGAGGCACTAGATTCTGGATTCTCACCAAGCCAGTAGAGTGGTATTAGTTACTCTCTCATAAGGTTATGTTCTTGTCTGTAATAGTCTAGTAGATAAAGTATTATGAGGGGTTTTATATATATATTATTAAAGTGGGTGTGTGTGTGTGTGCACGCATGGTTGCACACTTTAATCTGTGGGAGTATCTGGAATTTTTATTGTGTTAACTTTAAATTATGTGGACATTATTACAGCTTTTCCATTGTACAAAAAGAAACCTCCCACTAGATTCATGAATGTTTGAATATTAGATATATTTGGGATTTTTAGTGGCCCTTTTCTTTAAGCTGTTTCTTTTTGGTCATTATGAGTAGGAACAGATGCGGGATAAACCCCCTCTAGGAATTACTTACTGCTTTTGTCAAACACATTTTATAGTGAAATTTATAAAACAATTTTAATTACCTCCAAGTGAGTTGAAATATCATGTGTTCTAGCCATTTACATCAAATATGAAGACCCAAAATGCTTTTATCCTTAAAATTGTCTGAAAATAATCAGACTGTACATGGTTCTGACATTCCCAGCTTATCATTTAAAATAAATATAGCAGTGAGTTGATACTGGGACTTCCAAGTACTAAATAGTTGTGCCGAATGATGTGTGTGAGGGAAAATAATTTTTTTTCCATAAGAAAAAAAATTCAGAAATCTTTACATTCTGGCTCTTGGAGTTGTTAAGAGATTATTTTTCTTTTAAATTTTCAGTCATTTTGCTGCAGCTGCCACTAATTTTGTGTTTAAAAGAACTAATGAGGAATATATTTTTCAAAGGAGTAAATGAAGTTAATATGCAACTGAATTTCTAAGATATTGCTGACTTTTTTGCTATTAACATCTTTCATTCATTGCATTGCTTACAGTTTCAGTAGCTTTCAAAGAAAACATTTGAGCTTTTACATTAATTTGTAAAGTATACATAAGTAATGCAAATAGTTTGAAATTATTTTAGCTTTATGTTGTATCTCTGAATCATGGACATCATACCTGGCGCAACCAGTAATTGCAGATACTAAGCCATTTTTAAATTTATAATTTTTTTCTGAGATGCCGTTTTTAGTTTGCAATGTTTAGAAACAAAAGGTAACTTTATACACCTAACATCAATATCTTCGTCTCTTTGTCCCATATATAATTAATGGAATTAGGATGTAAGTCCTATTAGGATGGTTTTATTGTATTTTTATATATTGTATGCTTTCCCTTTTTATTTGAACTACATTGAGACTGACTTTTTGACTGAAGTTGAATGGCATTTGTCTTAATCCTGCCCAGTTATTGACCAAATCATATCTAGATGTTTGTATGTTTTAATTTTACTTATCCGAGCCATTTCAGTTTGTTGCCTTATTCTATCTATCGCATTGTTCTTGTTACGTCTAAGCTTTGTCATGTTGGAATTCTTTTAACACTGAATCTGTGATGTAAAAATGTATGATGTACTACAAATTTTATTCATAATTAACTTATAGCCTATTGTAACCTATAAAACATTTCTTGTAAATTGTCCAGTTTATTTTTTGATTTATGTACATTTTCTTATGTAAATTTTTAAAACACTTGTGGCCTGTTCTATAAACATTCCTGTGCTCTTCTTAATGCTTATTTGCATGAAAGAAACTTAGGTTTTGCTTGTTTATATTGGATGGCCATTAAGCCACATTCGGT